ATGAAATCCCCAGACCAGCCATTTGGGCTGGCGTGAAAGGGGAAGTATCAAGAACGAAATTGCCGGTCTTGAAATGGAACGCTGGTTCACAACAATCTCGAATTACTGGACTGTGAGGTGTTTTCGGCAAGTAAATACTTCCTTCCTTTGTAAATACTTCCATGGAAAAGTATGGCACAGTTAATGACTCAATCTTATCGGATTATGGTGTTGGGCGCTGTAATATATCGAACAAGAAACACGGCACCTCGATATCAATGCCGCTAGATGGCAGGAAAAGCGAACGCCTGAAGCTAGGCTGTACCGCAGGACCCAAACTGCAGGAAGTAGCGCGCGGCGGTTGGAACAATTTTATGAGCTATTGTATTGAAGGGGTAATCATTGCAGAGTTGACACATGCACGATGACTGACAATGCGCAGAGACTATTGTATTGGAGGTCAGACGCATCTCACTATGAGCAGATTTAGGGAGTCTCCAAAACGTTCCCGACTCCTGTCTATGGATCACCGCTTGGTGAATCACTTTACATTCAGATTAACATGACACATCCCTCTCGGTAAGCAAAGACAGAACACGTCTTGTAACCGAAGGAGCTTAGAAGTAAGCAACAAGCAGTGAATAAATTTCAACATTTATTATGCCTGAAAGATTCATAAAGAAGTCACTTAAAATCACGCCTTTGATTGCAATGTGCACAGTTTTGCTGGATATTTTAGGAAAAAACACTGCGCTTTGCAAACTGCAATATGCAACAAGCATAGTGAAACATGTGTTATATGTTATTGGTTACCCCAGTATATCCAATGCGGACTCTAAATATCAACGACCAATAAATGAAATAACTGAGCCAGTGCAGTCGCTTATATAGCCTCTCTCAATTTTGTCTACGAACTTGAGACGGGTATCTATTATCTGAATTAATCATTGCAAATAACCACGAATCTCTCCTGATTTATTACGTACGCACTACACTCACGAGCAGCAGCATTACGCAGCAACTTGGTCGGGGTCCATGACCGCGGTGACCGGTGGAAAGCTACACACACCTGGCCTGCCGACCGCCGCGCCGGGTACTTCCCCTTCTCACAAAGCGCTGGAGCAGTGCGCAGTTTCGGCGGCCCGCAGGGAGCACATGACGCGAATTGACGTCAACATCACAGTGGTCGGCAGCCGCGTCAGTGCACCGATCGCGGTGTATTTGCGGCTCAGCGCTGCCCCTCACGGCAGGGGTATGTCCCGAGGGCAGAGGTCATGACCTCTCAGTGCGGGACGGATGATTGATGTAATTTGTGCGTCATGCATTGATGTCCACACGAGGTAACGGAGGAAACGTCGACAATAAAGGTAACGCAGAAGTCGCTTGTAACAGTTCCATTAGTTGATTAAAGGTTGCATGTAATATTTATCTTTTTATGAGTCTCAAAAGACATGTTAGATATAAAACATCATTTTCATGAAACAGGGGCTTAGACGAGCCCAAATGAGGCCGGCACTGGATTTGACGCAAAACACTAACTGCAAATCGGATAAAGTGTGAGCAAATAATGCATACAAAATGTTTTTCCCGAGCCACTTACTTGCCTCGAGCAACAATGAGTGATATTTGATAAAGGATAAAGGTTATACCTATGGTATTACGTGTTTGCAGCTCGTCGCACTGATTAATTCAAATGATTTAATCATTTTCCGTCTTTTTTAGAAAAGAATCATACAATTTCATTAGTCGCTGACATACCGTATAACCTATCCAGAGATCAAATGTCCATTTGTGCTGCACAATGTCCTCGTCGCTGAAACATCCCTATCATGATTACTGACCACACCCCCTATTATAACCTCGTCGCAAATTTAGACGGACCTCGCACAGCCCACAGCATGCAGCCGACGACCATGCACAGCCCGACCAATGAACTGAATGTCCGGGTCTCATCAGTGTGCGGTGCGGCTGACAGGACCGAATTCAACGTGTCCAAATACTGACAGCCGACACAGAACTAGACTTTCAACCGGGGTATCCACCGAAAAGCCTGCCCAGCATAGTCTCGCAGAATTGGCATGGCGGACTTCCAACCGATAATGCGCTGTATCTATATTAGGTATGTTTTATAACATGTCCGTACTTTAGCCTTTAGGTATGATTATGAACTGCGCAAAACCTTTAGTAGCCACAAATATATTTCGCATAGTATTTACATGGTGGTGTCAACGACAATGTGAAAATCGGGCCCTGGCGAAAATCCAGCTGATACCTGCTTAAGCCAGTTGTGATAAACGTGGTTTATATGAGCCGGACAATTCACATCCATATATCAAAAACACTAATTGACACGTCGTTAGACGCTCATGGCCGGCATGACTTTGCGAAATGCGAACGACTTATCGAAATGTCATGAGTGCATATAACTATGTGCAATACTTACCGTGCAAGGTGAGATTTCCGGTTCTGCAGGAGATTATATCCATACGCGCAATCTCGGTAAATCGCTGGCGAGTGAGGCATATTGTCATCGGTTCATGACGCCATACGAGTATTTGCAAGAAAAAGTTGTAGTCTTTGATAAGCAATTTAATGGTTGTTTCCCACGAGAAAATTGCAACAACTGTAATGTTAAAATCAATCGCACTGACGAATAATAGACACTTCATAATGCTAAGCAGCCGTTCAATAAAGCCGTTGTGCAAAAACGAAAACATTAAATGACAACAAAAAAGAACCGTCGTACAAAAAGGCATCATTAAATAGGTGTAAATAAATGCTAAGACAAAAAAGCAGATTCTCTTCACCGATTTCTATTGTCAGCCATGGACCGCACTGAGCTCTAGATAAACCCGCCGGCCTTTTGTAATGTTAAACAATACCTCCGCCATTTTCCGTCCATGGTCTGGCAGTGTTGGGCCCGGTCCTGCAGACTGAGTCCCGCCTGACACACCCTCAACAGTCGTGCACTAGGAAGCCATTATCGTGCGGTGATCATCAGCTTTTCTCCACTGTACGGGAAAACGGGCCCGCGTCTGATATCTCGGTCAATCATCGCACGATTTTTATCGAGTCTTGGGGGTGCACGAGCGCGCTCTTGGCGTCAGCGGAAGTTTTAGCGCCATGGAACAGGCTCAGCACATTGCCTAATCGTAATCCGACGGCTGAACGATCCGGCGAAAAGTTGAGCGTCGCAGCTCGTGGCCGAATTCATGGTATTGGCGCCGGTAGCAAGGTAATCTCTGGAAGTCTGTGCAGTTGCAGGTATACGGGCAAGTGGGCCACGCGATCGTACCCACGCACATGTCAGTGAAAGTAACAGGCAAATTTCGCCGTTGTGTGTGTTTTTTAGGTATGTTTGTAAGTGGGTACGTAGGTAACAGTGCCACTGCTAGGAAACGACCGACTAGCGCTTGCCTTATATAAGCAATGCCGTAACATAAATGCTGCATAGCTTTTGCCTTTGCGGCCCAGTATCAACTTATGGCATTGTCGACAAAGAAACTCATTATAAACCGACTAAGAGGCCCTGGGCCTTCTCCAAATGCTATGACAGATTCGCAAGTCTAACAAAATCGCTAGTCTAACGCAAGTCGGGGTGTTACGGAGTACGGACACGCCCCAGCTCATTATCAAACGGATCTCAATATCAAAAGTTGAAACTCATCCCTAGCTACGGTCAGAGATGACATAACCTGACTTCTGACGGAAATATTGCGAACCAGTTTCAGCCGAACCGTCTCAATAAGACCTTTTTCACATCTGCATCGGCTGTATCCAGCTTTTATTGCAATTGAAAGTAGCCCAGTGCAACTCAGGAAACGCAAGTAATCCGGTTGTCATTCGAATTCAAGTTCACTTCACAAAAGCCAATGATTGTTTTTCAGTGTAACGCCCTCTCGGTTTGGGAACTTTTCAGAGCCGGATTCACATAGACGGCCTCACTGTTGCGTCGGCAGACTTCGACGTTGCGGTGGAGGCCCAGCCAGCCGTACCTGCTCCGCCATCTAGCAGCAAGCATAACAACTAAAGACTCCTCTCTCGGTTGCAGATGTCGCTGTGCTGAGCAAATGAACGGCGAGTCCCAATGGCGGAACTACACTTCATTCAATGCAAAGGCATTATACTGTTCTCAGCATTTGTATAGAAAACCGTGTCCTAGGCGCAAACGACTTTGCGTTCCCCCTGGTGAGAGCTCTAAACCATTGATGCACCAGCACTGACCAACCAAGTCGAGAATAGTGAGACCTTTGACCCGAATCACCTCAGACTGGAATCAGAGGAGCGAGCATAGTTTTGAGCATCATTATGGCCCTTTTCAAGTACAGTCCAAAGCAGAAGTAATGCACCTATCCGTGCTTCTATCCTCAGGATACTGAAATCCTTCTCCTCCACGCCACAACCCCCTTCCGGGCTGGACAGGCAACTTTATCTCATGCGGGCTGCTCCCTTGGAGCGGCACCGCTGCTCCCGAGGGAGAGCACCCCGTAGCCGGGTGCAGTGAGTGCCTTGGGGCTGGGTGGCCTGTCCTCTGGACGGGCTCAGCCCCGGCGACTCACTAGGGTGCCTGCCCAGACCAATGTCTCCCCCTAAATCCTATCATCCTTCCGGCTCTGCAATGGTCTTGTCGACCGAAAGGGCCTAACCCAACAAAACAAACAAACAAACAAACAAGAAGTAATGTGCGGTTTCCGTCATGGGTATGTCCTGCTTCTGAAGCTTATGAACGATTAGACAGACTACAATGAAACTTTGAATGTAGCTTACATGTATCGTCACCCTTGCAGCTGCAACTTTATCTATTGACATCTTCTTTTCGATTACTCCGCATTAAAAAAAAATCGCCAGTCAAAGCCATCCGTTGAGATTGATAAAACCGCACATTACTTTAGCGGTGGGCTGTACATCTTTATGAATTGGTCACTCCTACGACAGTTGCCGCTCATAAGACAAATGGCTATCCCTATGTGCAGTCACAACTGTGCTCCTAGTCGGTAGCTCACACGCCCCCAAACATAATCTTAGCGAGGTCAGTGTATTCCACCACAAACCATCTTCTGGTCGGAACACGAGGCTGAGGCCCAGACACCGGGCTCTCCTTACACTGAGAGAGCCATCCACACTCCACAGCTAAAACGGCTGCCCGGCCGGCGGCAGACCGTCCGCATTCAAATCCACCTCGCTGCGTTGAACCCCGGATAAAATACACTGACGTGATGGTAGTAAGAGAGACCGATCACAGGTATGCTATCGACCATTTCGAGCGCGCATTTCGACCGGTAGAGAACTTCTCCAAAGCACATGAGATACTGATGACACTGGTGTGGGCGATGATGACGCTTTCTGACGTCACGATGACGCCGGATGACGTCCCGATGACGCCGGATGACGTCTCGATGACGCCGGATGACGGGCTCACGGGGCGGCGGGTAGTCTAGAAGGGTCGTCCCTGGTGAGGCCCGCCACGCATCATACCTGGCGGCGGCCCCCGCATGGGCCCCATGGGTCCGGGCCCTCCGCGGCCCATCTGGGGCGGCCCTCCGGGGCCCATACCTGTCGAAAGGTTAGAGGTCAGTTCAGGGGCTATCTTACGGGTCATCTCATGTTATCTTAGAGTTCAGCACAGAGGCTAGCACATAGGTTACGGTCAGCTTAGAGGCCACGTTAGCTCAGAGAAAAGCTCAGCCAGGTTTGGTGAACAGATGTCACTCCTAAGGTGATAAAAGAAAGGATGGAAAGTATACGGAAAAAGATTATGGTCGGCCGTGCGGTGGTGATGAATCGTTAACAATCGAAGTAGCGACTACGCTCAAACCAGTTTTAGGTTAAAATGAATGGGTCCGATTGCTGTGACAACACAAACACATTAGGCGCACAAACAAGGATATCAACTGAAATAAACAACAAATCAACCATCTACGAGAATCGAAAGTTGTTCACGATGTCCGGATGCAAACGATGCCATCCAATACATCAACAACTGAGCCTGTTCCACATTTCCCCAAACTCCACCGAATATAATAAACAATGTAATTCAATTCCAGCTATCACAGACCGCAAATCCTTTCCAAAGCTGCAGCTGAACAAACACGATTCCCCTGACAGTAGTACGGACCAGCGCGGCAGTCACGGTGGCCAGTTCTCAGAATATGCCCAGCGGTTCGACGGGTGCGCTGTCGGCCGTCCTAACCTACCCCACCACAAATCGGGTGGCCGAGGCCGGCCGCTCCGTCCCAGGAATTTAGTCCGAACCGGGCGGACGGCACTGCGGCCGGCGAACGGGGTGGTAATGAGTACCGTGGCCCGTGGGGTACAGAAGGGACCTTTTGTGGAAATATCAGACATAGAATTATCAGCTACATAGATGGACCCTTGTGGACGCTACAAGATACAAACTGCACAGTGGACGCATCAATATCAGGTGATGCATGCTGACCACAGGCAGGATCAGGTGGGAATACCCAAATCAGAAGTGGCGATATACTACCAGGCAATGTCCTGCCAACAGACTAGGAACCACATAGCGGGTCCCAATGATATTATAAGTACTTGTACCGCGCAATCTCATGTGAAAATCACACCAGAGATCGAAAATAAAGCACGACAAACAATTGCGGCCACACAGAACTAAAACCCATGGCAATAAATTTGCCCGGGAAGACCCCGACCCATCAGGTTGCATGACGAGCTACCTCTCTATCTTTCTTAGCACTCTCCGAAAACACACTACTCCCACAGGACAAATACCTACACCACAAAGCAACACATCTCTATTTACTCTCTTCCCATTATGAACACAGCCACACAGCACGCACTGTCCCACAGGCACAACCTAATTATAGTAACAAGTAACCCCATCCCAGTGACCATACTGTTCCTCTCTCAGGCGACTCGCCACTGAAACTTCCTTCTTGGGCTGTAGCAGCCACCCATGGCCCAATCCCACCCCAAGCCCAGACCCCTCACACCCAAACCCCTCCCCCTTCCATGGCCGCCTTACCTCCCATGATGAGCCGTGGTCAATGCATTCAGATACCCATACGTTCAAAAACACCCCCTCCCCATGTCGATAATCTTCATCATCATCATCATGTAGGTGCGTAACGACTTACCTCCCATCATGGGCCGTGGCGGTCCACCGAGCAGGGGTCCCATCGGTCCCCGCATGGGCGGCATGCCGCGTCCCTGCGGCACCATCATCTGCTGGGAGGGTCCTCCGACTCCGCGCACCGGTCCCTGGAGGCCGGCGGCCGGTCCGGTGGGCGCAGCGCTCACTCCGCGGCCGGCGGCGCGGCCGGCGCCCGGTCCCGGCCCGGCGCCGGCGGCCGGCACGCGCGGCCCGCGCTCGTCGGCCGGCGGCGGACCCTCCACTGTCACCGAGACAATGTTCTCCCCGCGCAGCAGCACCATGCCCAGCACGCGCTTCTCCTCACGCTCACCAGTCTTCCCGGCTTTGGCCTTGAGCTTGCGGAACTCCTCGCAGTCACACAGGATCAGGTTCATGTGCTTGTCGAACGCTGCACGGCACAGAGTGGATTGTTACGATATCAAACAAACAAAACGGCGCGAAGTTAGCAATCTTTGCACACTCAACAAATGTACGAACACATCACGTCAATTAACCCGCGCCGTTTATAGCTTTTGGGGCATAGCTCCTACAGATTTGACCAACTGCCTCCCTGCCCTGCCCTATGCCCTCACACTGTTATGTGCCCTGCTCTCAACCCTGTGCCCAGTTCTATGCCCTGTGACCTACCCTGCACCCTTTCTTGTAACACCCTGTTCTCTGCCCTGCCCTGTGTCCTGCTCTCTGCCCTGTGTCCTGCTCTCTGCCCTCTGTCCTGCTCTCTGGCCTGCCCTCTGCCCTGCCCTGTGTCCTGCTCTCTGCCCTAGCCTGTGCTCCCTGCCCTGCCCTGTGTCCTGCTCTCTGCCCTGTGTCCTGCTATCTGCCCTGCCCTGTGTCCTGCTCTCTGCCCTGTGTCCTGCTCTCTGCCCTGTGTCCTGCTCTCTGCCCTCTGTCCTGCTCTCTGCCCTGCCCTGTGTCCTGCTCTCTGCCCTAGCCTGTGCTCTCTACCCTGTCCAGTGTCCTGCTCTCTGGCCTACCCTGTGCCCTGAGTCCTACCATGTACCAAGATACCTACCCTGCCCTAAATCTTGACATGTGCCCTACCCTGTGCCCAATAATTTGCCAGCAGTTAATGTAGCTGTAGGGCTGACATCCATAAATGTTTCTATACCTTATTGCATACATATGCTCTCAGTGCCCTATCACAGCTATAGCATGTGCCCTCTGCTCAACCATGGGATGCAGAAAAAAAAACTGTAAAAATATGCCCAGATAAAGTGACACAAAAACAAAAACAGTAACCCCTGGTGTTGCTTCCCTAACACAATATGTAATGATGCAAGGACTCCTTGCATCATGATATGGCTTGATTTGATCAGTGCTGTCTGGACAGCTTTTACAGGAAGCTTCATTAAGAAATTTACTAGGCCTTGGAAATGAGATCAATAATATAATCTTTTTCAGCTTTCTAAACTAGAGCTGAAAAAGATTATATTATTGATCTCATTTTCAAGGCCTAGTAAACTTCTTAGTGAAGCTTCCTGTAAAAGCTGTCCAGACAGCACTGATCAAGCAACATCAATATTGATAATTGTGAAAAATAACTAAATCAAAATAATATGATTTGGCAGCACTTTAAGTTGATCCATCCCCATTTAGCTTGAGAATCTTGCTGCCGCTCACCCTTGAACGTTCCAATGAAGGTCCTAGAGTCCTGTAGCATCACCCGGATGCGGTAGTTGATGTGCTGCATCATCTTGTTATTCTTGCCCACTGTCTGTGAATCAGCATCAAAGGACTCAACCAGTGTTCAAGAATTAATTGAGGACAGATTGGTAGCTACGACAGCACAGAAAACAGACCCAACAAGACCTATGATTCTAGAATCGGCATAAATATACCCTGCAATTGGAGAAAATTTTCACTCATCTCGTAACAACTGGATAGAATTACAATTAGCTGTCTTTAAACATATCAGGATTTTTAATAAATTGCACTAAACTAACGGTTAAATACCTATGAGTAAGGTATTTTCAATATTTGTAGTGCAGGGTTTAGATAACCCAATTCAAATTGGGTTACCTATCTGTCGGTTAACCGACAAAAGAAAAGCCAAACACCCGCCGATCGACAATACCCATTTTCGCGTTGCGGAGCACACGGGTCACCCTAGTCACTTACCATTTTGGTGTTGTTGATTTCAACACGGTAATATCAGTCAGACTTAATTAACTCTTATTTCAGCCAAAAATTAATCCCATAAACCCCGCAGCCGATGCAAAACGTTTCTCGCCCTCCACGCTTCTTGCCTATTTCACTTTTGTATCAGCCATGCCATAAATGCCTCTTATAGGTACCGCCATTTTCTTTTCTAAGTGCTTTGGCCGATGTTTGGCTCATTTTTACTTTCTTTCAAAGCATTTATCCATTTGATCAAATGAAAGGCTTAACATAAAATATAAAAATCTAAATTGCGTTCATTTTGAAGAAGCTTTTGAAGGTTTTTAAATATAATTAAAAAATATATTCGGAAGCTTTTATAAATGTCCGCGAGGTGTCAGTGCGCTCAAAATCTCCAAATCAATTGCGCGCCGAAGGAGTTTCTTTGATATTTTCGAATTATCGGGGGACGTATTTCGGGCGGTGGTCTGCGTTTGTCCTTTCAATATAAGCGCTGTATTCAGGAGTACGGCTTTCAGAGCTTTCGGACGTTTTAATTCCCTAACATTGATGTCTTCAGGTGGACCTTTGAAGGTAATGATTATTTGAAAAGACCGCTCTCAGACGTATGCGGCGAATGTTCAGGTTTTAAATTTGTTCATGTTTGTACTAGTGACTGCCGGTGCTTATACTTCGTGTCTTTATTGAGCAATTATTTGCTGGTGCTTCTGCCTTAGCTCAAGACTTGAGTCACTGGACACAGGTCTGGGAAATGTTTGTTACCTACCTATCTGTCCTGTCCATTACTGCAGGGCGCTGTTCGGTCGCAGTTTTTATCAGCAGGCTGTGGCCTGCGAGTTTACTGTTATTTCTTGGCTCCTCATTGGCCAAATTCACATGGTCTCTTCATTGGACCAATGAGAGGTAAAGAAGTGCCAGCAAGAGCTTCCTTATATGGGAAAAACCAACAGTTGCTGATAAAAACAGCCGCCGAACAGACCTCAGGTCAAATACCTACTACATCAAAGTAATTTTAAACAATCCCCAAGCAGATTGCAGTGCAAATGCAAAGATTATACCAAGGCGATAAATATCAGGTGGTGACGTGGCGTCATGAGAACTTAAGCCCAAGGGACACTGTATTGCTTGACCTAATCTAAGGTAGCAACTGTTGGAAAGAACAAGGAATGCAATTAGCCTAACATGAATGTTTTTTGTCACCTGAAGCTGGCATATAGCAGCTATTCCTTTGTTTGCCATCATTTGTCATGCTGTGTGTCTTAGGCAAAGTCCAGACTGCAAAGCGTGGCACATGCGCACCTGAGGTGCACCCAGTTCAATGGGACTGGGACTGGGACTGGGAGTGCAAGCCTGGCAAATAGGAGTACACGCCTGTGTCCGTAATTTGTATGCCTTGAGCGCAGCGTTTCAAGCTCAAGCTTACGTACTTGCCCCACAAGCATGGGTATCGATGTTGAGGATCATAGCAAGACTTACCAGTAAGATTTTCCTGACAAATAGGTCATTGACCTGACCTGGGAGGTCAGCCAATGATCGAAGATCTCAAAATTTGTTACCATTCGCTTCCTCTTGTCATGAGTAATACACTTGTTTTTTTCCGCGAGGCTCTACCTCGATTAAGGGTCCGGCGTTCGGATGGAACCCAGGTCCGCTGTCCGATAGAGGTTACTCCGCCCGTCTCCCATATATGCCAGATGCAGTGAAAATGCTGGAATTTGTGGCAATGACCGCACAAGTGATCTGTCACACTGGCAAATTTAATCCCAATCATCCCAATGAGCAGCGCTGGGCGCTCTTACAAATGTGCGGTAGTTGTGAGATGTCTTCCCGTGCATTTCTCATTTGTTTCATTAGCAAGCTTCGAATGAAAGCTCTCCAGGCATGTAGTTATGGCTCTCGCGAGATTAAGCGGTAGGTTTCGCACTTTTACATTTCCGGTTATATCTCAGAAACTAATCGATCTACAATGAAGCATTTTACACGATCATGGCCGGCTTGTTACCCAACAAGTCGATCGCATCTTTAACACTTAAAAGCTTAAGATGACGAAGATATAGCCTGAAGTACACTAAATTTTCTAGGTGCAAAACCTACCGCTAAAACCCGCGAGACCTGTACGCTCTGGTTCGTTACTGCGAGCCTGGGCCGTGCATTGCACGCCTGAGATTTGTAATGCACGCCTGAATAAGGCTAGAGGAGGCCCCGTGCACGCCCGAGATGTCGTCGAAACCTGCCACGTTTTTCAGTCTAGGGAAAAGTGGTAGGACATTTTACTTTCAGCCTGAACCAAAATACGAAGGTGAATCGGTGAACGACCATCCCTTTTACAGCTCAACATACCCGAAGCTGAAGGCAGCCTGCGTCCCCTGCTCACTTGTACCCAGTGTTTCATTGGCAGCAAATGCACTGCTCACACTCGCCCCATGTTCTTGTCGACAGCAAATGTTCAGTAATATGGCGGCAGCTGTGAACGGCGCCGCCAACGGAGAGACTGCCGGCGGCGGCGGCGGGGACAAGGCCGCCGCCGCCAAGGCGGCCAAGCGGCTCTCCGTCGAGCGCATCTACCAGAAGAAGAGCCAGCTGGAGCACATTCTGCTGCGGCCCGACACCTACATCGGCTCGTGCGAGCCGCTCACCGAGACCATGTACGTCTACGATGACGAGCAGGGCATGCACCAGCGCGAGATCACCTTCGTGCCGGGCCTGTTCAAGATCTTTGACGAGGTGCTGGTGAACGCGGCCGACAACAAGCAGAGGGACGCCAACATGGACACCATCAAGATCGAGATTGATTCGTGAGTTGACGAGGGGAAGGGACCCAGGGGTATGCTATAGGATGGGGGATAAATAATCAATTCATGGCGTCATATGGGTTTCGGGATAGCCTGGTGTTTGGCATTTCTCTTTCACGGGTCTTCGGTTTATAATTGTTGCCGAATATCGGCATTGTTTTCTTAGTCTGTATATCAAAATGTGTTGAATGATGTTTTCAATGTGGGCAAAAACATCTGAGGGCTGTTCACGGGCCCTGTGTGCGGTCGGACCGCACACAGCCTGAGGGGTGTTCACGGGCACCGCACACTGCTGCGTGCGGTGTCTGCGGTGCGTCCAGCAGGCGTGGGGGTAGGGGATGGGTAGGCGGCTCTGACGTCACGGCTGCGTGCGGTGGACGGTCCGCTGTGGCCAGTCCCGACCGGCCACAGCGGTCGCTGTGTGCGGTGACGGAAGGCTGACGTAGGGACGCAGTGGGCGGAGCTTGGAGGCTGTGTGCGGTCCGACCGCACACAGGGCCCGTGAACAGCCCTCTGGAAGCTCCGCCCACTTCGTCCCTACGTCAGCATTCCGTCACCGCACACAGCGATCGCTGTGGCCGGTCGGGACTGGCCACAGCGGACCGTCCACCGCACGCAGCCGTGACGTCAGAACCACCTACCCATCCCCTACCCCCACGCCTGCTGGACGCACCGCACACACCGCACGCAGCAGTGTGCGGTGCCCGTGAACACCCCTCTGATGTATCATTTCATCTGATTATTCAAAGCTTTCTTCAGTAGGTATGTGCGTTTTAATGTGTCACCGAGATTCGATATAATTTCACTTGCATTTCATTTTGCAGCGAGAACAACAGCATTTCCATCTACAACAATGGCAAGGGCATCCCAGTGGTGACGCACAAAGATGAGAAGATGTACGTGCCGACGATGATCTTTGGCCACCTGCTGACCTCCTCCAACTTCAATGACGAGGAACAAAAGGTGCGTGCCTCATGTAGTTAAAGCCTGACGGATGGATGGAGCACAGCTTAATCTGTCCCATTCCATTGCAGTGCCGTTTCTAAAGATAATAATGGTTCCGTGAATGGGATGCTGGCACTTGGCAGGTGTTGGAGTAAAGTTGTGTCTCTGTTGTATTATTTCGAGCTAGGAAGTTGTGTAATGTGTGTGGTGTATTAGCGTAATTAATCTGCTGGATGTCTCTTTGACTTTGTTATTTGTAACGTGTTGAATCAGCATTCACGGCGTTGTAGCTTTAGTGCGTGAACATACGTTTAATATGTGACTTTCCCGCAGGTGACTGGAGGCAGGAACGGTTACGGTGCGAAGCTGTGTAACATCTTCTCCTCCAAGTTCACTGTGGAGACTGCCTCCATCGATTACAAGCGCTCTTTCAAGCAGACGTGGGCCAACAACATGTCCAAGACCTCTGAACCGAAAGTCAAAGACTTCCATGGATCGGACTTCACCAAGGTATGTGCTTCGTTTCACGTGGGCACACTGAGTTGTGTTTGAGCCCTTTTTTTGTTGGAAATATGCTGACGTGATATCGTCCACCGATTTGACCACAGCAAGCATGCTTCAAAACACCCGGTCTCGTCTCACCCTGCTGGCCTGTGCATTTCATTAGCGAACTGACCTGTGTCCCTGTCTCTATCAGGTGACGTTCAGTCCTGACCTGGATAAGTTCAAGATGACCTGCCTGGACAAGGACACAGTGGCGCTGCTCTCGAGACGCGCCTACGATGTGGCCGCCAGCACCAGGGGCGTCAAGGTCTTCCTCAACGGCAAGAGGGTGCCGGTAAGTAGCGTGTCGTCAAATGAACCGGGAAGAGTGTGGTGTTACCTCGCTAGTAGGGCGGGAACGATAATCGATGAGTAGGACTGAATATGGTGTGGTGGGTAGGTGCACGGTCGTGGCTTGTGTAATTCTGTGGCTATTTTTTGTTAACATTTTTGTTGTTTGTACAAATCGTTTAGATCGATGAAGTTAATGAATCAGCTATCAATTAAGATCGAGAACAGTCCACGATGGTTTTGAGCCTCTCCAGAGCTTATTGCCCCACCAATACGTCTTGGACCTGCTTGAGATCCCTGTCTGCCCCTGCCCTCAGCTGAACGAAGAGCGAGACCCCTGTCTACCATTCTCTCGACTGACCGTAGCCTCTGCTCGCCTCGCTCTGACCCCAGGTGAAGAACTTCAAGGACTACGTGGAGCTGTACCTGAAGGACAAGGTGGACGACACGGGAAACCAGATTAAGTGCGTCTACGAGAACTGCGGCCCGCGCTGGGAGGTGGCCGTCGCCATCTCGGACAAGGGCTTCCAGCAGGTCTCCTTCGTCAACAGCATCGCCACCACCAAGGTCAGCTCGGGAAGGAGG